ACAACAGGCATGAAGCCCACGGGTGTGGGAGCTAGAAGGAAGCTGTCCGTGCTTTTCCTCTCCCGTGAGCTCCCTCTTCTGTTGAGACAGGATTTCTCAGCCAGACGTCCACCCACATGAGGTCACTTCTTGTGCCCTTCATTGCCTATTGTCGGAGGGGCCTCTAAAGGCTGGGGTGGGTCTGAGATGGAAGTTGTTCCCTTGTGATGAAGACTGGGGCAGGGCAGCTGACCAGGCAGATCATCTGATTGACACTTAGGGGTGAGGTCAGAATGACCAGATGGCCACGTTGCTGGGCTGTACAGGCATTGCTGATACCCAGAAAAGAGGAGCAAGATGTCTGTGCAGCCACCACTTGATTCTTTTTGAACATTCAGCCCCAAAGGGACCATGGCGTGCCAGACAGGGACTCTGCACACCTCAGCAGCTGCAGTGGAAGAGACGAGGAGTTCCCTTGTTCCTTCCCCGGCCTCGGCTGTGCTGAGCGTGTGACACGCAGCGCACGCTTCAGCACTGCCGGGTAGGTCAACCAATGACCCAAGAAGAAGAGCGATGCAAACTACAACAGCCTCAGGGTTCCAGGTGGAGTAGGAATGAAAAAAAAGAAATGAAAATTGGCTGGCGCCGTGGCTCACTTGACTAAATCTCTGCCTGAGGCGCCGGCACCCTGGGTTCTAGTCCTGGATACTAGTCCCGGTTGCTTCTCCTCCAGTCCAGCTCTTTGCTGTGGCCCGGGAGGGCAGTGGAGGGTGGCCCAAGTGCTTGGGTCCCTGCACCCACATGGGAGACCGGGAGGGAGCACCTGGCTCCTGGCTTTGGATTGGTGCAGCATCAGCCATAACAGCCATTAGGGGAGTGAACCAACAGAAGGAAGACCTTTCTCTCTGTCTCTCTCTCTCACTGTCTATAACCCTCTCTCTGTCTCTCTCTCTCTCATTGTCTAACTCTGCCTGGCAAAAAAAAAAAAAAAAGGCTACAGCTTCAACAAATGGTCATGGGGAGAGCTGGGGCCAAGGGCATCTTGAACAATCAGATCAGAAATACAAAGAACAAGAGAATTTACTACGCTGATGATTCTATTTCTTTTTTGGGAAAATACTGATTTTAAATACGTTTGGTAGAGTCTTAGTGAGTGAGTCACAGTCTTGTAAAGAGAGATTCATACAACTATCCTCAGAAAAGTTTAAGACAGTGAAATAAATGGGAATTCTCAGATCCTATCTCAGTTCAAATAAGAGGGTAAAATAAAAATTAATCTGAAAATTATTTGGCAAATCAGGCTTGTAGTCAATCAGTTGGCCAGCTAATTTGTGTGGTAACTTAGAGCAATACCAGAGAATTCTGTATCTTGGGTTTAGGTCTGTTTCATATAACATGATATGATATAAAGAACTTTTAGTCAGTGGGTATAATAGAAAGCTAAAATGGAATTAAATGACCAAAAAATAATGAAAATTCTTTTCCTAGCATTCTACATAAACCAAATTCTATATGCTATATGGATGAAATAGGTCCTTCAGTTGGAAAAACCTTTAAAAAACCTCTAATAGTCATTAAAAGTATTTTATAGCCCAAACATTATGCTAGGTACTTTCAAACTTAGCATGAATTTGAGCCATTTCAAATATATTATTTCATTACAAATGTACTTATAACTTTTTGCCTTTTGGAAGCTACATTTGAGCATTCAAAGTGTTTTGTAAAACTATTAAAGCTCTTTATTTCGTTCTACCCAAATAATACACAGAAAAAAAGCATCACTTTGCTATTTCATGGCTCACATTCATGTTAAGTCTGATTCATATTGCTGAAACTTCACAGAGCATCAAAGGCCACGCTCTTCCAAGACAGCCAAAGCACTGAGATTCTGGGTTTTCTAAGTATTGCGTTGGTGACCTTATGGCACATGTTTGGAGCTGGGGACACAAACTCTTGTTTCTTGCTTTGTGGAAGAAAGTCCAAGAAGCCCAAGTGGCTCTAAACCAGGCCACAGTCTCCTATTCTAACTACCATTCCCCACGCAACCTAGGGAAGACCTAGGTGCTCCTCGGTCCTGGAGACTACCAAGGATGTTCTGAATACCTGGGTGAGGCTTCAAAGTCACGAAGGCTCTTTGAGGAGCAGCTGTGGTGGCCCAAATGTTCACGATGGGCTACTTTGGTTTGCAAAGGATTTGGCATTTTTTTTTTTTTTTACATTAGTTGAAACAGAAAAGAAATGCAACTCCCTGCACCTTTTCAACCCCTCCCACATGTAAGGAAAGGTAAGCAGATGTATCTCTCGAGATGGGTCTCTGCAAGAAAAGTTAAAACATTCACTGGCAGTGGCAAGGGAAGATGAGTTCTTTGATCTGGTTTCAACATTGGCAAACAGGCAGCCGTGGGGTGAGCCGAGGCAGGGCTTTGAGAGCCTTATCGCAGAAATGTAGCGCTGACACCCTCAAGGGCGAGCTACTGAGCAGCAGCAGGGACTCCCGCCAGCCCGCAGGCCGGCCGACATCTGGCTAATGGATGGAGTCACTCCCAATCTCCCCAGTGCATCTCATACTCTATAGTAAGGGCAATAAACCAAGGAGATTGCCAAAATTAGCACTTCTTCGTTGAGCCCGGAAGAAAAAACCAGCTTGACCATTGTAATTTAGATCTCAACTGTTTCAACTGTTTTTTTCTGGGAAACCCATTTAGAGGATCTATACGCAACTGGGATCTTAAGAGAAGGGGGCCGAGGTTCCAGCAACGAAGTCCATAACCTCCCCAACTCCCCCCAACCAAATAGTTAGCATTCCGCTCTTCCTGATTCTTGTTCTTCTATGTTAAAATAAATGCAAGCAATGTGTACAAACCAGGCTGTCCCTGTAAGACACAGTGTGTTCAACACTGGCCAGTACGGTAAGGACAGGAGGGAGTCAAACTGAGGCACTGGGTACTGAGGGCCACATCACACCATCTGGGAACTGAGACCAAGCGGCGGATATCAGATTCCTACCTCCACAAGGTACTCACCCCAAGGCACCTGCTCACTGCGCAGAATTTTTATCAGAGTGGTCACACTATTAACATTTTACACTCTTTTTTTGCTTCTAAGGTGAATTCAGTCAATTAAATTAAAAGCAACTGCCCTATTGTATACAAACTCCACTCTCAGGAGTCAAGATATCATGGTGCGCAGGACACTATTCAAAAAGGCAGGGTTAGGTAGGAGGCTAAAAGGATGAAAATGAGTCAGGTCCACAGCTCTGTGCGAGACAGATTTGTATTTTACAAGGCCAACAACTGAGAGGTGAAAACAACGCTTCTGCTGCTCCTCCCTTTATGAACAGCAGATCTGGTTCTGGGTGCTTGGCTCAGAGCACAGTTGGTGGACTTGAGTTTGTTTCAGAAAGGGAAGACAATCGAGAGGCTGTTGGATACATTTGCCAAGACAACAGTGGGGAGGAAAGGGCACCAGATGCTTATAATCCTTATCTGGGGATGCTGACAGAGCAGCTAGAAAAGAAACATTTCTGCCGTAAAGCCAGCCATGCTGGCCACTGCGGTGTGAGACTTGCGCAGAGTGCTCTGGATAATGAAACATGAGGAGTGAAAGGCCCTTTGTTTCCTGCTTTCCCAGGAATGCCCGTCAGAGAGAGAGAGATGGCCAAGACAAGGCCAACTTGATGAAGGGCTTCCCTGCTCACGGCTGTGCCTCGCCGTCAACCTGACAGCTAGGCCCCTGTTCAAGAGATCTGAATCATCATCTTAGCTCAACACACAGAGTCAGAGGCTGAAGACCTGGACCCGGGCCCTCCCGGTACAGAGCACACACCAAATAATCCTATCACACCAAGGCACGGCAACCACAGCAATTGCCTGCTGCTCACTCATGCACACACACTCACTGCATCTCCTTCCAACCCTATGAGGGACACACTCTTCCTCCTCATTTATGCACAGGGGAACTGAAGCGTAGAGTCCTAATCATGGAGCAGAAAAAGGACAGAGTGAGGACACTCTGCTTTCCTGGCTTCAAGGATTGCTCTTAATGTTATACTTCTCTCAAACAAGACTGACTCATCACCTACCCTTCTCTGAGCACTAAGTTGTAGGCCAAACCGCTGTGCGTACTTCCCTCAACCCAGGCTCATGATAACCCTACGGACACGTCGGATCAGGGAGGTCAGGACCTAGGCTAAGGTCCCCTTCCAGCAAGGGGCTACTCTAAGATGTAAAATGAGCCCAACTCCCAACCAGGACACCACACAGCAGCCTGCATCTCACTACCCATGACAACCATGAAGGGAATGGAGTTGTTTAAACCTCTTTTCCTATAGGAGGGAACATGACACTCAGTGCCAGTATAAAGTGGAGGCCAGGTTTGTGCCTAATGCATGAATTGTACAGTTTATGTGGGTTTTTAACATTTATTTACTTATTTATTTGCAAGAGCAAAAGAGAGGAACAGAGAGAGAGAGAGAGAGAGAGAGAAAGGAAAGAATAAGCTTCTATCTGCTGGTTCTCTCCTCCAAATGCCTGCAACAGCCCCAGGCTAGGGCCAAAGCAGAGAGCTGGGAACTCCAGTCAGGTCTCCCCTGTGGGTGGCAATGACCCAACTACTTGAGCTCTCACTTTTGCCTCCCAGGGTCTGCAATGTCAGCACGCTGGAGTCAGGAGCAAAGCTGAATATTGAACCCAGGCAGTCAGATATGGGATCTGGGCATCTTAACTACTAGGTCAAATGCCTGTCCCCTACTCTGTGTTCTTGACCATGACTAGGGGTGATTTAACAGAAGGCCAGACACCAGGAACTGTCCTTTAAGGTAGCTACATGGGGTAAGTCTAAGCATAAAGCAATCGACAGCATCAAAACGTCTCCCAATTGCAGCCAAGTTTCTCCTAATAAAAAGACTTTCCTCAATGTCCCCACTCTTTTTGCCTCAGAATGACAAAGAGGCAACTCCAAAATCTTAAGCCCCACTCCTCCTTCCCTCACCATCCCCGACAGGTTGAACAATTTGCACTTACGCTTTGAATGCTGGGAGGTAGGAGTATATAGAAATGCTGCTTAGGTTATAAATAAATGGCAGGTGTTTTCTGATATCTGTTGTTGCCCAGCTGTTAAAAAATGTGTTCAGTAAGCCCTGGTCCCCACCTGGAAGAAAAAAAAAAGGCATTATAGTTAACAAATCTCCAGGAAAGATCAATAATTTCATAGGAATATATAATTAGAACTTTAAAATAGAGCCACATTCCACACCACACCCCTTAAGGACATTTTAGTGGGTAGTGACTTCTCTGATTTAATTAACTCACTGAATATTTACTGAGAAGCTGTTATGTGCCAGATAAAGGACCAGGCGCTGCAGAGTCAACAGTGAACAATTCCAAGGGTCTTCTTCACAAGGGCCTTTGTGGGGGTGGGAGTGTTGATACTGCAACCAGGAGTCAACCAACGCCGCTAACGGCAATGAGGGCAGTGAAGGACGCACAGGGTGCTGTGAGTGCAGGTACAAGTGGCTCACGGAGCCTCCCAGGAGCGCGCTGTGTGTGAGCCAAGAGCCGAGGGGAGCATGGGCATCTGCAGCAAACCGAGGGAGTTGGAAGAGGGACAATGGTGTTCCACGTAGAACAAAACCAGCACGCACCCCAGTCCTGGGCTGGGAAGGGACGTGAAGCTTTTAAGAAAAGACGACCTGGCACGTGGACTGCAGAGAGGGGAACAGGGTGCACCAGCTGAGTTCCAGAGAGGTAGGGAAGGCCAGATCTCACCAGCATCAGAAGTTATAAACGTTTCCCCAAGAGCCATAGGAGAGAAAAAAAGTAAAAAGCAATAAAAAGCAAACTGGAATTGAGGAATTGTTTTCTGGGACCTCCAACTGTTGGCTCCTGGACAGAGGCCCAGGAGGCCACAGCATGCCTGTGGTGTGCTCTCCTGCCACTGACCAAGCCTCTGGGCAGGTGTCAGTGAATCATCGCTGCGGCCATGGTCAACCACAACTACACGGAAAGTGCTTGCTCAACACGTGGGGTTCCCAGATCACGCACATTCTTCATAAAGTGAGGATCATAGCTGTTCATTCAAAAGAAATGAAAACAATACACATCTCAACAGCTGTCTCACCTAAATCGTATAAGTAACCAAACAGGTCCCTAAGCCACGTCATACCCATTCCATGGAGTCCTTGTGCTTTCTGTTTTGGACTCACGGGACTTCAGAAAACACGTTTAGTACCTCATGCAGGCCACTGGTGTGAGGGCACAGGGGATGGAAGGCAGGAGAATCCTGCTGGCTCTTCTAAAGGCGATCCTGGCATCCCTCAGTCACTGCCCTCCTCGGTGAGCTTTGCCCCAAGTTCCAGTTTCCTTTCTCAACATACAGCAAGTCCGACTGTCTGTCACTGAGACTCAGGTTTTTTGGTTTTGATGCAAAACCAAAAATCTATAAAGATTTATTCAACTAAAAGAGGTAAATAGTGAGATTTAGTTAAATAAAAGAGGTAAGCCCTGAGATGAGGAATTTAGGTTCAAAATCCAAATGCATCTTGTCCATCCTCTGGTTTCCTATCTTTTCATATACCTTCCACCAGCTCTAAGGATCAGCATTCACTGGGTAATGTCTTTGGAGCAACCTCTCAGGTCTGACAGGTCCCCATTCTTCAAGGGACAAAAATCAAAGCTTCACCCTCATAAGTTCCAAAGGACAATGAATGTGGCAACAGGATATGCTACACTCATAAAGAAGATGTCGACTGAATAGTTTATGTTCACCAAAAGCTGCATGTTGGACCCCTAACCCTCAGGGCAGGGTTAAGTTGCTGCTCGGGTCACCCACAACCATGTCATAGTGCCTGATTCAAGACCTGGCTACACTGCTTCTCATCCAGCTTCCTGCTACTGTACACCCTGGAAGGCAGCAGACAATGGTTTAAGTGCCTGGGTCCCTGCCACCCATGTGGGAGACCTGAATTGAGTTCTGGGCTCCTGGCTTTGGCTTGGCCCAACTCTGGTTATTACAGGCACTTGAAGAGTAAGCCAGTAGATAGAAATTTCTCTCTCCTCTCCCTGCCTTTCAAATAAAATTGAAATAAAAATTACAAAACAAATGGAAAAGAAATTCTAACCATCAAGGTGATGGTAGGAGGAGGTGGGGCGTTTAGACCATGATTGGATCATGAGGGTAGAGACCACATGGATGGCATCGGGGCCCTCATAAAAGGGGCTCAAGAGGTTCCAGCAGAGACAACTGTTTATGGACCTGCAAACAGGCCTTCTCCACACACCACAGATGCTGGGGCCTTGATCCTGAACTTCCCAGCCTTCAGGACAGGGAGAAATTCCTGTTGTTTAGAAGCCACCCAGTCTATAGTATGATGGCACAGCAGCTCAAATGGACGCAGACAGAAAGAAGATGATTCGAGTGATACAAACTGACATAATTCGAGGCATAAAATATTAAAGCCAAAACACCACACTACTCATCAGTCTTGTTTGGGATTCTACAAAGCTACACGAATATATGAGGACAGGTACTAATGGCTGAGGTGTCAAGGTATGAAGTCTTTAATTCCCTTTGATACATAATCATCAAAATAAGGGTCTAGGAAATGTTCAAAGCAACTGATTCATAACAGGACAAACCTGGAAATGGGTGTGTGAACATGGTACATTCACACAACAGACTGGAACTCTGCCATAGAAAGGACAAACTATGGAGCCACACAGCAACTGGGATCTCGTCAAGGAGCCATGCTTAGTGGGAAACGCCAATCCCCTGGGTTACACACCATGTGACCCCATTTATCTAACATTCTTCAAGTGGTCAAAGTAGACAGAAGACATGTGTGGCTGCCAGGGGTGAGGGTCGGGGAGCAGGAGAGGTGGCTGTGCTATGAGAGTGGTCCCAGGGGACCCAGGTGGCAGCACTGCTCTGCACTGTGACTGTGGTGGTTGCTCTAATCTGTGCACCTAAAAGCTGCACAGAAAACACACCCACAGCCATACACACGAATAATGGTGACACCTGAGTGAGCCTGCTGGATTATATCAACGGCAACTTCCAAGCTGATATTATAGTTATGCAAGCTATTTCTAGGGGGGAAATTGAGGGAAGGGTATATGGGATCTCTTCTGTTTATTAGAACAGTATGTGACTTTCCAGCTCTCAAGCAGTCCCCCCGCCAAGTCCAAGGATTAATGTGGTTGCAGTACAAAATACACCCAGGAAGTACTAGTTGTTAGGTTCTAGATTCTGCAAGAACCAAGGTTATAGCTCTTTTGCTGACCATACAATTCTAGCACGTAGTGGAATGCCTCACACAGAGGCAAATTAGGTGTGAAATGAATGCAAGAACCTTGAAAATATTCTGTAACAATGAAAGTTGTCTTAAACGTTCCATCAGAGAGGAAGGGTTGGTTTGCTGTGATGCCAATCACTCATGGGAACATCACTCAGCCACTGAGACTCGTATCTATGAAGAGAGCAGTCCAGCAGGTAACCTGTCCAGCTGCACATGCTATGACTACTGAGAATATACACATGAAGAAACATGCACTTCAGAAGAAAACAAATGAAACAGCAGTAACTGTGTTGGGGATTGGTGGTTACAGATGTTCTTCCCCCTACTTTTCCTTATTATTTTCATAATGTAAAAATATAACAGAATTAGGGCGAAAAATGAGAATGGTGCTAAGATCTTTCTTTCTAAACACTGTTATTTTTATTTTTTACTGTCAAAAGAAAACTATGTGTAGACCATACAGCGTATTAGTAATACCACTCTATAAATCCAGTGTCTGAACCTGAACATGAACAACTGGCCCTTCCCACCAGAGGTACCTATCCATCATGAATTCTGTTCTGTCTTGCTTTCCTTTATTTAGCCACATGATACCCACTTCTAGACAACACATGTGCTTCCTTGTGTTTTTGAATGCTCTAAAATGTGGGTATCATACTATGTTTTTCCTATAGCATATTATAAGATCTTTTTTAAAATAAAGCAACTCCACTTAGAACAATGATTGGCTCATGCAATGCTGTGAAGAAATCGAATTCTCGGGAGGCCAAATAACAGTTACAAAGCAAAACATCCAAATCCGACCCACGTAAGCCTAGGAAACAGGCAGCAGAGCTGCTGATCCCTCAGAGCCCCTGGCTGGCTGCCTCTGGCCACACGAGGCCGTTTCTGTTTACCCTCAGGTACCCTACAAACATCGCTGCCCATCAGCTGTGTGCCGCGGGAGGGAGAGGAGGCAGCGAACAAGCAGGAAACCATCAAGAAAAGGCAGCAAGGCAGATTTGGGGAGTCAATGGTGCCCACTAAACTGGCAAGTCCATAAACACTCAACTAGATCCTGGCCTCCAGATGGGACAACCCAGATCACAAACCTTCCATGACCGCCAACCATCAATATAAGACTATGAAGGATCACCTTTGAGCTCAAAATCGTGGATTAAAGACAGAATTTAAATACCACCTAGCAGTTTGTGGGTTCTCAAATAATTTTAAAATGCAGCAAGTCTCAAGATCCTAGCCATTTTTTTTTTTTCAAAAGCACACAGTACAAACTTCCAAGGTGAGGTAAATGTTTCAACTTCTACAGAGAAATCTATATGTGGCATGTCCTCTGCTTAGAGGTCTCTAAACGAGAGCGTAATTCAAGGTAGAAGGCAAATCTAAGCACGTCTGAGTTACAAGACACAGAAAGATGCCCTGAAGATGGCTCAATTCCCACCACAAAACCCTAGACCTTCCATGCAGTATAATCTGGTCAGACTTCCAAGGGCAGCTTTATTTAATCTGACAGGTTAAGACACTTTTAATCGGAATCATCTCAGAACCGACAAACAGGATTATGAGGCATCACGGGCAGCTGTAATCCAGCAGGCCTGGGCGTGGCAGCACAGGTGAGAGACACGGAGACAGGGAACAATGGGCACAGGGCATCTGTTCTACAAACAAAAGCAAATACCTGATTCTGTACCAGCCTTCCACTGAGAGCCTTACAGCTATGTGGTATGTTCTAGTTCTTTTGAGTGGGGTCATAAAGCTGTTAAGCATGACACACCATAGCACTCAGCAGAAGCTGGGACTATTAGTTGCATAACCAATTAGTTTTATAGAAATGGGGTTTTTGAGTGTGACCTTTTAA